TAGTTTATTTTTAACAGCACGTTTATTTGCCAGAATTTATTTGAGGAAATATGGTATATAGTATGATTGCAACTTATTTGTTGATGAATTTCGATTAAAATAATTTTAAAAAAATATATTTATTAAAAGAGCTGTACAAAGAAAAATATATATGTAGGAATTCAATAAAGATACTTGCCAGCTTACATTGTTCAAGTAAGTCCTGATGCTTGTTGATTCAGTGGGGTAATATTCTTTATTTACTAGATCTTAGGTTCAAATCCTGCTTTGGGAGTTGTTATTTGTTCGAATGCAGTATAGTTACTAATTTTCTGGCATTGTAATTATTTAAAACTTAAGAAATTGCTGCTAATATAAGCTATTGTACAGTACAGTACATAGTCATTCTTTGTTCAACATTGTGAAATACAAATATACATCATTTAATTTAAGTTATACAGTCTTGCATTGTAAAGTTATGCCTCAGTTTTCTCTTCAAAACTTTTTATAATTTATAATAAAATAAAGACACTGAGTTTGGCGTTACATGCATACATTTTCTTATCACAAGCACTTTCAACAAACTTATAGTCATCGTCATGAGGCGAATACAGAGATTTACCGAAAAATTAAACGGAAATAATCCGATGTAGAATAGAACGCATAAAATATAAGTTGAAACTTTGTCAAAGCCATTAAGAACACGAGACAAATGTTCAAATATAATTTGAAAACTGAACGAGCAGTTAGCTCTGTGAAGTGCAAGCTGGTGCATGTGCAGAACCAGGCTCATGCTATACGCATACTGGAGAATGTTAATATTTGCTTAAATGCTTGTATAGCATGACCCATACACTGGGCAGATCAAGCATAGGAGTGTTGCAAGTGTCAAAGGTGGTAGTAAGAAGAGACTCCCATATAAAAACGATTTTTCGATCCTTGCAGCTCTTGAGCATAACTGCTTGGGACCATAGCAGGTTGTAACCCTGCTCAAGTACCTTTCTTGAGAGCTTGGTGGTGTGCCTACCCCTCATAACATTATCTTGGTGCTCATCAAGGCTGGCAAGCATTCTAGTAGTGACCCCGATATATCTTGTGTTTACTCCTGTTGCAAGATTTTCCAAAGGTACAGCATAGACCCCTGACTTCTCAAGAGTGGAAAATTTGTCTCTATCGTTACAAATAAGTTTGCATAGGTTTGGAAGTGGGGATAGTGGTAGTACAAAATTGTGCTGCTTAAAGATTCTGCAGATGCGTATAGAGAGGGGTGCAAGGTATGGCAACGATGTTTGTACCTTCAACACAGAGATTTACTGAAAAGTACCTTTGTACTTTTTGGTAAATCTCTGTATTTGCCTGATGACGACTATAAGTTCATCAAAAGTGCTTGTGATAAGAAAACGTATGCATGTAATGCTGAACTCAGTGTCTTTATTTCATTATACAATATTTTGGCGTGATAGTCATCCTATTGATTATTTTATAATTTATTAAAAAAAGGAATATTCATTTTACAAAATTCAATAATACAGTAGTCAGTTTAATAATTAATTATCATTTCATTTTTAACTCCACCCTGTGGGCACTAAGGGGGCTTTTCTTCCATATCCAGTGTGAGTATAGCCAGGCCCATAGTGGGAGAAACTGGATGGTGAAGGATGATATATTGATATATCTTCACCATCCAGTTTATCCAGTTTATTAGATACATTGATATATCCTGGATATATCAATGTATCTAATAAACTGCTTGTTAGAAATTCCTAGGTAGTTCATCATTTGAATTCAATCCTGAGTCACTCAGAGTGGTAGGCTGATGCCTTAACTGTCTTAGCCATCAACCATAACTAAATTATTTTGATTTTTATTGTCTTAAAATTTCTGTAGTTAAGAAATTTCCTTTAGTTAAGAAATCTGTTTTAAACTGATTATTGTAGTAAAAGTACTGTACAGTACTTTTTAACAAATTTGTTTGTATCTAATTTGAGCCTATAATAATTGCAAACAAGTATTATAATACTATATTACTTACTAGGACATTGAGCAACTTTGTTGTATTGCAATAGAACTGAGGCTCTGCCTCAGTTCTATTGCAATACAACAAAGTTCTTCAAACTATTGCAATACAACAAATTAACAAACTATTAACAAACAAATTAACAAACTATTGCAATACAAACAAATTAACAAACTATTGCAATACCCTGAAGAAATCCCTGTACTTATTATGCACAGAAGAGGTAATCTTTTTACCTGGTGAATGTGGACAGGTGAACTTTGCACTTTCTGCTACAAAAGAGGCTATCCTTATACTGTACCTGCCAGCCATGGAAGACATGATCCTTGCACAGGCTAGATACAGAGATTATCCTTGCACTTGCCGACACAGAGAGGTGATCCAAGAACAAAGCAATCATCATCGATTGCTTTGATTATCAAAATCAGTCCATTAAATTTTGAGAACGAACTTGATTCTGTAAGCCCATAGAAGACATCCTAGCGACCATGAAACATCGAACTACAAAGTCATGTGATTCATACAATATTGCTTTGTTGCATGTGTTCATGAAATGACCTTATAACTCGAAAACAAAGTCATAGACGTGCAGTGTGTAGCGTCTTTGTAATCCAAAAAGAATTGGTAGACGAACGAACAGCAATTGGCTAGAAAATGTTACGTTTTATTTAAAAATTCCTAATTCAGATGCATTTCGGGTTGGCTTATATTCCCAACCCCTCTTCAGTGCTGTTAAGATTACACAAAAAAATTAAGGTTAGTTTTACGACATTGGTTAGTAGGAACATAACTAAAACACGAGGTGATGATAACATAAAAATGCTTACTTGTCATATAATGGTACAGCATAGAATTTTTAAATAAAATGTAACGTTTTCTAACCAATTGCTGTTCGTTCGTCTACCAATTCTTTTTGGATTACAAAGACACTACACACTGCATTTGATGATACAGCAACCACGTCCTCTACATTAAAAAGTCATAGACCTTGATTTTTTTTTTACTACATTTTTGGATTCCTCATTGCAATTAATGAAAAATGACAAAGTTTAATCAAAATCAATTGAACAGGTTTTGAGAACAAACACAATGTTGTAAGCCACTTAGAAGAGGCTTTGCTAATGCTCCACCTCAAATATCATGATTGTGTTCTAACATAATTAATAAATGTCAATAATTATAAATATGATACGAGAAATAATTTATTAATTGAAATAGTTAATGCTTTTTACTTTTTGAAAGTGTTAAATTTTATAATATAATAGTACTTGAATTAGTACCTATGTTGCATAATGATCATCGACAAGTGAAAATTTTGTCTCTGATTAATTTATATAAAGTATTTACTTATGAATATGGGATTATTCTCATTATAATTATTATGTCATATAAGTAAGAATCATGAAAAAAACAAATTAAGAATATAAAAGATATATATTTTCTATTGATTGCTGCTGTCTTTTAATCCCATTAACTTTGTGTTGTCTCTTGTGACTCTATGAACAAAAGTACAGTAGTATAGGCTATAATATGTTGTCCTATTTCTGATAAGATTGCTCAAATTTTCTGAAGCCAATCTAGTATAAGATCCACATCTGACAGAACAACAGGGCTATCAAGGAGGAGGGAGAAGCTGAAGCAATATCCCTGGAGCTCAGACAAGAAGTTATAAAAGAACATTTTAATTATGAAGTCCAGAAAATAAATATATATAACTTCAAGTGTAAAAATAGAGAGAAAAAAGAAATGCAATAAATTAAGTATCACATCAGAAGTATAGAAGAACACCAGGATCTGATCTCTCTTCATGGTCCAGTAGATCAAATATGTTAATAAAACTTATTGATTGAGCCATCTTCATTTCTAGTCCATTGAATGTTATTTTCTTCTTTTAGTACAATTTATTCTTTTATTCATACTTCATTTACTGCAGTACATCACACTGAAACATGCCTTATGAAGGCAACTAAATTATTCTGATGACACGTGAAACTGTTAAAACAGACAAACCTATAACTTGTAATAAGTGATCAGTTACTGTTGTTTGGCAATCAGATGACTTATGGGCATTGATCCTGAAATTTTGATATTTTTATGTTAAATGGGGCTGGAAATTATGGACTAAAGAATTTCATAATTTCCAGCCCCCTTGATTTGAGGTTTTGATACCAGAGGTAATGTTAACAGAGGTATGTCTGTAATTTTTAATGAGAACAGAGCATTTTTGAATTAGAAATGACCTATTATAAGACATAATAAAGATTCTCTAGAAAATAACTGTCATTCACTTTTTTAAATATATAGGGTGCCCAAAAGTCATTTAACTTGAATATATTTTTAAGACTAGTTAAAAGTGTTTTGGAACAGCTGCATATTATTATTTATAATTGTGTTGCTTTAATTTAAGCAAGTTGCATAATAACTTTTGGGATAAATGTGCATAAAATTTGATCTAAAAAATGCTTTTAATAATAATAATTTATTTCAAATTTAGCATTGATTTATATTTATTTCCTGAAGATTATAAGAATATGAAATTATTTTACTTACAACTTAATGTTTAAATAATTTAAAATTAATCTTGTTAATAACTGTCTGAATATATTTACAGTAGAACCTCGATTATCCGCCTCCCGATCAACCGACCCCTCGGTTAACCGACCGTCCTAGTCGGCAAATTTCAAATGTCCATTAGTGATGTGGCGCTACAATAGCAACGATTATTATTTTAAAAAATTTTTGTTAGGCTTAACATCGATGAAAATTCAACGCAAAATAGGTTAATAGCGATATAATAATATACTAATTACATGGGATATAATAATATACTACACTAATAATGGATTTTTCATACTTTTCGGTTATCCAACTTTTCAATTATCCGACCAACCCCAGTCCCCAATTAGGGCGGATAATCGAGGTTCTACTGTATTTTTAAAATTTAATTAAACTATATTTTAGTGAACTATTTTCTAATGATTATTTTCATTTTTGTTTTTTACAGATACATTTTACTGTTAGCATTCATTTTTGTGTAAACAACCACTTTCTTAATTATTGTTCTGAATGTTTGCGATGCCTGGTTCGTTTTCCTGTGAACTATGTGGCTATATAGCTGGAAGTCATCGAATGCTTGCGAGACATCGTGCCACCACGCATGAGACCAAAGTGTTTCGTTGTTCTGAGTGTCCATTTGTTACAAGGTATCGTACCAATTTATATCGACACAGAAGGGAGATACACGGTTTAAACAAGGTCAATGCTTGTGCATTCTGTGGGTTTTTTGCTACGACAACTGATGATTTGAGAATCCATAGACAGACTTGTCCTGCCGGAGGTCTTCAGGACATTCAGTCACAGCCTCTCTTTCCAAGTGAAATTCCTCAATACGAAATTTTTCCTAATGATTATGTACAATTTGGGACAGTTCCTACTTTTAAAGAACCTTTTCCTGTTCTGCCACAACCAGCTGTGAGTTGTAACGAATATAATCCATTTAATCAAGCTCCAATATTTAACGAACCATATAATTTTATTCCTCCAACTCAACCTATTTCAAACAAAGTTCCATATAATGAAATTGAAGGTACACCTGATATGTTTGTTTTACCACCTACTATTTCTCAAATACCAATAACTAAAGAAAAGATTGTTACGGAAACTCCAAAATCACCTGATACAACAAACATTAATGATTTATCAAAAAGACTTGAACCAAATAAAATGAATGAAATGGCAAAGAAGCTTGAACCAGCTAAAGTAAGACGTAGTTACATTTGTGAACCTTGTGATCTCAAAACAACAAATCCTCGAGAATATTTGGCTCACCGCAGAGATGTTCATAAAGAAAAAATTACAATATATGAATGTAAATACTGTATCTATGCTTCAAAAAATCCTCAGAAACTTCAAAGACATTATGGTCTTGTTCATAGACAAATATCATCAATTAAAAGAGCTTATAACTCTATAAAAGGTAAAACACAAGTTGCTAAAAAGAGTTGTGTATCACAAAAGAAAAATAAAATAATTGTTAAGCCAGAAATAAGAAAAGAAAAACAGAGAAGTGATGAAGTAGCATTAGAACCAACAATTCCATCTGAAGATACATCGCAAAAACTTCCATCACCATCATCATCAGGTAATGCATATAATGAAGTAGAGAAAGATTGTTTACAAAAACCAATTCAACAAAAATTTAAGTGTTCTGCTTGCCACTTTCATACAAAAAGCAAGCTAGTATTATTACATCATGAGAAAACTAAACACCTCAAAAAGAAATTTTATCGTTGTTTGCAGTGTGTTTACGTAACTCACGTGAAATCTCGATATACAAAACATGTAAGATATCATTCACTTTCAAAAATTAAATGTCCTCATTGTGATTTTAAAACTGCATACAAATGGAATTTAGACAGACACATGAAAAATCATATTAGTGAAGGAAGTTATAGATGTCCAAAATGTTGTTTTTCTGCTCATAGCAAGCAGTCACTTACAATTCATATTGTTAACCATCATAGTGAATCTATTAATTCTGTAAATGATCTTATGATAATTGGTGATAATAGTGATGATGAGAAGAACATGACAGAAACAAATTCGTATAATGATCTAACCTGCACAAGTGAGAGGATAGTTGAAAATGAAAATATTGAAGCTGAAAGAAGTACTGAATCAAGAAGTATTCATATCTCTAGAAATAATGGGAACAAAACAATGAATTCAGATTTAGTCAATGATCCATATCTAAAAACACCTCTCATTGAAAATGCCCCTATTGTTGCAAAACCAAAAATGCAAAAAGCTGTAAAATCAGGTGGTGGCTCTTCTAGAAGAATGATGGAACATTCAGAAAAGAAATATTCTTGTCCATTATGTGAGGTCACTTTTGATCATCTTGCTTGGCTGGCTAGACATTTGAATCGCAGACATAATAATGAACAAGCAAAAGACATAACTGCCATTGTTCAAATGCTAGCAGCTAAAAGCAAACCTGGTGCAGTTTCGAAATTAAAGAATAAAAAAAATGGAAAGAAACCACATCGTGCAACACCTGTATGTGCAGTGTGTGGATATAAAACGAAATGGTTTTCTGAAATGAAACGACACATGCGAGTACATACAGACGAGAAACCGTTTGAGTGTCCGTTTTGTGAATATAAATGTAGATGGAAAGGTGATTTAACAAGACATGTTCAGAAAAGACATGATGATATAACTATACAAAATAGTGAAATTCATTCAAAATCATTTATTAAATCTCCTGAAGATGATAATGCAATATTACCATTGAAACATAAACGAGCTTGTGTTATTAGAAATGAAAAAATGAGAAAGTATTTAAAAAAGTCAGATGATCAGGACTGTCCACTGGATCTTAGTGTTGATCGAAATATGGCTTTATCATCTCGATATCAAAATGATTTTCCATTTTTTGAAGGAAGTCACTTCTATAAAAATGATAAAAATTTACAAATGGCCAATGATCAATATTTTGAATCATCAAAATTATCAAGAAGTTCTTCTGCAAATTCTAAAAATTCATTCATGATACAGTCATCATCAAAATCATTCTCCTGTGTTTTTTGTGACTTTACTACAACAAATGAATTTAGTTTTAAAGTCCATAACACAAGACATTTTACTAAATATCCGTTTATGTGCTCCACCTGTTCTTTTAGATCTAATTGGCAAATGAAAATTGTAAAACACATCAAATTAAAACAGCATGTTAGTCGAGATCATGATAATGCTAGAGTATTATTGATAGACTCAAAAGGAGATATCAGTGAATGTTTTAGTGATAATGGTGAGGATCTGGACGATGGTTCTTTCACTAAACAGGATGATGACAAATTATCAGAGGAGCATATATTGTTTGATGAATTTGATAGAAATAAACAAAACATATCTGATAGAACATTCAAGATTCCATTTATGATGAAAGAATCTTCCAAATCATACTTCTGTAGATATTGTAAATATAAAGATAAAGAAAGAAGGAATGTACTTGCACACATGTGTGAACATACTGGACAGAAACCTTATAGATGTCGTATTTGTGGCTTTTGTTCATTATGGCTTAATGTTTTAAAAAGACATGTTAGAAGGCGCCATAAAGGTCGACTTTCTGACATAGAAGAAGGTTTCAAAATTATTGAAAAGAATCGTGTAATTAGTGTTGTTGGATCAACTGTACTTAGAATTTCAAAATCAGAAAATTCAAAAATCACAACTTTGTGTTCCTGCAAGATCTGTCCCTACAAATGTATGGGGCAAAATGTACTGGAAAATCACATGAAGCATCATAATTCTGTGGGGACTGCTAGCTATAAGTGTAGATTTTGTCCATATTACTGCAAATTTAAAGATACTTTAGTCAAGCACCTAAATGTGCATGGCATGAGTGTATCAAATGCTACCAAGATAATTTCTCAATGTAAACTTTCTCAATTGGAAGGATCCACACATGAGAAGTATAGATGCTCATATTGCCCTTACAGAACCGATAGTACAACAACTTACCTCTATCACAAACAGTGTCATCGTCCAAATAGAAGTGCACCTTTTAAATGTAAACATTGTTCATTTTGGGCCACTCACAAAGCTGTTTTGGATGATCACATTAGTTTACATTCCAGACATTCACGTGATCGTAAGAGTTCTAGTAGAAGTCAATTTCCTTCAATGCCAATTCCCATTGAAGTTAAACAAAATGGTAAAATTATCAAAGTATATAGATGTCGCTTCTGCCCTATGATGGGTGACAATTTAGATACTGTGTACAAACATGAATTATTACATTCACGCAGTTCAAAAATGTATAAGTGTAATATCTGCAAGAAAATCTGTGAAAGTGAAAAGCATTTGACTGCACATTTAAAATCTCACACATCCCCTATTCAGAATGATTTACTGAGATACGGAAGTGATTCTGATGGAAATTATTTCAAAAGTTCTCTAAATAATTCCATCATTCAACATTCAGAAGACAACAATAAATTTAATTATTTTTGTACCAAATGCCCGGCTGCATTTGTCAATAAAAGTGATTATGCAATACACAGAGAAATCCACCAAAATACAGGAAATTCAATGCACATCACTGATTATCGTGGTTTTGACAATGAAAAATATTCTCAAAATTATGGTTCTGAACATTCTAGACATAAGAACCAAGGTTTTGGTATGATTGAGAGAGACAATTTAGTGGAACATCATAATTATGATGCTGGAAAGGGAGCTGAAAAGGATAAAACTGAGATAGTTGAGCAAACAGTGGAAAATACTGGATTTGAACAAATGCTCTTGTTAGAGGAAGCAGAAACAAAATCTTTTGTAAATGGAAACAATACTAGCATTCTACCACAGAAACTTCATAATTGTTTTCAGTGTCCAGCTGCCTTTTGTAAGCCTGCCATTCTTGCATTTCATACTTCATTACATGGAACTCAAGGTAAATATGTATGTCCAGAATGCAATTATGCTACTGATTCAAAGAACAATGTTATTGCCCATTATCAGCTACATGTTAAGCCAAAATCAGCCAGCAAGAGCAGTTTGCGACTATATGAATGTACCAAATGCCCTGCAAAATTTCAAAAACCCAAAGGTTTGCGCAAACATTTTTCTTTGCACGGTCAGAAAAATAAATTTACTTGCGAAATTTGTGATTATTCTGTACCTTGTGCTGTCAACTTATTTAGACATAAAGTTGTTCATGTTAATGTTAACAGCAACAACAACAACACCAGTAACAATAATAACAACAGTAGTAATAATATTAACAATAATAACAGCAATAACAATAACCAGATAGAGCATAATTATGTACAAGAACAACCAGTGGAAAACACTGAGCAAATAACTGAAAGTCCAGATCAGATTTCAAACCAGAAAGAGTCTGTGGAACAAAAGAAATCTCCAAAATCCGAACGTGTGGAAGACAAGCGTTATTTCTCTTGCACTTTCTGTCCATATGTCCATCCTAGGAAATTTGCCGTGCAGAATCATATGCGTCGACATGCTAGCACCGAAGGTTTACAATGTCCTCATTGCAATTATAGGTCATTGCAAGCTTCGGTGTTAAGAGACCATTTGAAGTGGCATTTCCAAGCCCAGTTTGTCTTCAGCCCTCAGGCATTTATGAAGTTTGATGATATGGAAGTTTGGTTGGTTAATGGCAAAGAAAATGAGAATGAATTGATTTTTAAAGATCACGGGCAAAATTCAAAGAATAAAGAAGGTCGTTTCTTTTCTGCCATAAGCGAAAATTACATTGAAAATGAAGAAAGGAAACCTTTACCATTTGTAGATACAAAGAGTATAGAGAAAATGGTCGAAGAAGAATTGAATCTGATAGTCGAGGACAATAAAGACGATGATGAAAGAAAGGATGACGACTACGACGACCAAAGGAAAGACGACGATAACGACGACCAGAGGAAAGACGACGATGACGAACAAAGGAAGAACGAGGACGATGACGACGACGACGACGACGAAAAGAAGGAAGATTCAGAATATATGGAAGAAATAGAAAAATTGAAGCAGTTGGCCATGAAACAAGAAGTAAAAATTGTGCTGATGGACGTACTTTCGCAAGATAAAAATAAGAGTGAAACTTTAGAAGTGCAAGATAATACGGAAACAACAATAGGAAGTAATCAGTGCAGTCAGAAGAGCAACGAAGAATCAAAAGAAACAAAGGAGAAACCGAAAGAAAATACCATACAACATTGTGAAGAATCCAACAGTTCGGACAGTACTGTTGTTATCGAAACTCCTTTAGAAAATACCGAAACAAATGTAGACAACAACAATGTGTCAACATCAGAAACAGCGGTAACCAAAGAAAAAGTAGTAACTTTTGAAGAAGTTCCTGAAGTTACAACCACCATAGAGCAGCAAGCACCCGAAGTGGAAGAAACTAATACGTTGGTTATAAAAGAGAACGAAATTGTAGAAACGAACTACGTGGAGAGAACGGCACCAACAATTTGCGAGTACACGAATACCATAGTAGGCGAAGAAGAAAATTTGCACACTCACCTCTATGGTAATGACGTGATGATGGTGAGGTTCGATGACGATTATCTACCATCGGAATCGGGTATAACGGAAGTGATTGAAGTAGAACAAGCACCCGTTCAAGACGTGGATCTATCATTAGATGCCGCCATTGTGGATAAAGAAGGGATCATGGAAGGGGACATGAATGCCATGTTTTCCGACGACGTTCAGGTTGTTGAAGTGGTAGCAGAGAACGAAGACAGTCTGAATGATTTTTCGGCGGAACTTAAAAACGAACCGGATAGAAACTCAAACGACTTGATGGTTTCGTGTCATCCCAACAACTTTACAACGGACTGCGAACCTACTTCTATTGCAGAAGTCGAAATAAAAGTGTAAAATTACCTCTAAAGTTTGTTAAAAAGACATTTTTGCAGGTGTTTATGTATATAAGAAGTCCAAGACTGCCAATTATATATTTAAATGTAAAATGTTCAAATTTGTAAAGCGACAATATAGAGTTATATAGTTTCTCTGTGTTCAATATGTATTGATAAGATTTTTATTGAAATCCACCACATTGTTTGTGTCCTATGGACATAATGTATCAAATAATCGTTTATAATTAATTTATGTATAATGATGCCATGTAGGCATTACGAAAATTTTCAGTTAATTTAATGCTCTTGCAAAGCAAGAAACGCTTTGTGTATGCAATTTTTTTTTAAGTAATTCTTATTTGTCAGAAGCAATTTGTACTTCTAGATGTGTAAATGAGACAATAGAAATTATTTTGCACCAGAGTTTTGAGAGATGTAGCGATGTTTTAATGTTTGAGAATAAAACGTGTTTTGTAATAATTAAAAATATGTTGAATTAAGGTGAAACGGTAAAACTGCATTACGCGGAACCATTAATTCGAATCTCGTAATTATATGACAGGATAAAGCAATAATGGCGTGAAATTTAATGCTGTTTCATTCCGTTTCGAATTATAATTGCTGTTACCGTTTTGTAGTACGCTTCATTATGGTATGGAACAATGGCTTACACACCAGATCCGAATCAATAATTTTGAGCTTCGGTCGAATACTTAGTGCAGTGATTCTCAACCATTGCCGCGAGATTTTTGAAGTGTGCCGCTGCTGCGAATATCCGTACATAAGCTACGTCAGACAAGTACAGTAGAGCGTCGATTATCCGAATCAATTGGGGACGGATTTTTCGGAAGATCGATGTCTCGGATAACCGATTATGTACGAAAAAATATATTAATTTATCCCATCTTGACATTTTTCTCCGTTGCGTGTCGCTTCGCGTTGAATTTTCGTCGATGTTAAGCCTAACGATACTATTGTATCGTTAAAAATTATTTTTTTATTTTGTACAAACAAAATAAATATATTGAAAAATATAAAAACAATAAAATATACTTCAGAAGTTAAATTAGTATCAAAAACGTAAAACATTTGAGTAGCCGAAGACATAGCCAAAGATTACAGCGCCACAGCACTGGAGAAAATTTAAATTTGTCGACTGGAATTCCTTCGGATAACCGACCTTCGGATAAACGACGTTCTACTGTAGTTTGTATATACATGTTTATAATCCATAAATAATTATTATTCATCATTTAAAATAATATTGTAATCAAATTATACAGCCAAAAACAATGTATTACTTCTACTTGATATTAACTACATAAAGTTTTAAATGATTATTGAGAAAACTAACTATTAATAATAAGTAAACTGATAAACATATTTCTTTTTCAATAAATTCTATTTTTCTACAGCATTTCCAAGAAATTTGTCATCGACAAATTAAATCTACATGCTAATCAGTAAAATATAATTTTATTGTATATTAATATAACTAATGAAAATAATTAACAATTGATGACAAAGTTAATGTGTTATTGACTTTGATATAATGTGTATTAGCCTTTGAGGTAACTTTCCAACAGAATACTCAACTATGAAATATTAAATTTTTGAAACTTTAGTCAAACATTGTGCAATTTTAATAAAGTTTGCATTAAAGAGGTGAAATGAGAATAATTCACCAATTAAAAAAAAATTTGATTAAACAAATTTAAAGTAAAAAATTATAAAAAGAGATTAAATGCAATGATTAGCTAATTATTCACTTGTTATTGAAGTTAGTTTTGTAAATAATACTGTAAAAATATTATTGTTTTTCATATTCTAAAAAGAAAGAATATTAAATAATTTAATAGTATTAATTACAAAAATGAANCAAACAAAATAAATATATTGAAAAATATAAAAACAATAAAATATACTTCAGAAGTTAAATTAGTAACAAAAACGTAAAATATTTGAGTAGCCCAGGACATAGCCAAAGATTGCAGCGCCACAGCACTGGCGAAAATTTAAATTTGCCGACTGGAATTCTTTCGGATAATCTACGCTCTATTGTAGTTTAATCGGTTCTACCTTCCTAGAGCGCGTTTGGAAATTGTAACTGGTGTTACCGGTAACTGCCGGTAGTTACCAAGGCGTTTAGAAAACATGACCTAAATAACCAACTGCGTTTAAAAATCACTTATGACATCACCGGTTATCCTGCGGTACTTATCGAAATAACCGTGTGTGTCGCCAAATTTTTAAATTATTAAAAGTACCATGACGAAGAAAGGTTGAGAATCACTGGCTTAGTGTTTTGTTTTTAAAAATAGCTTTATTGTTCTTTCAAAGTGATTACTCATGTCTGAGGAAATATTTTTGTAAACTTTATAAAACTTTCAAAAATCATCGATATGGATACATGGGTGGTCCGCAGAAAATTTTTCAAGGGGGCAATCGTGGATACAATCGCAAATTTCATTGTTTTGGTTGTTTCATAAGTAGATTATAGAATGCAATAATGCAACAATGTAAAAAAGACACAAAGCATCCCGTGTGGAGGGTTTAAAGTTGATTATTTCGCTTTTACGGTTATAATTTGTGGATTTTTTACTCGATCCCAAAGGACGTGTGTTCGTTTGCCTTCTGCGGATGCCCATGTACAGATATTTTCATTCGTTTGAAAATAGAAACTAAAATTTAAGTGATAGGCTTATAGCTAAAGAAAATTATAGGAATATGATCGTAAAAAATTGGAATTTCAATAGAATCGAGGTTATAGTACCCGTGCCATCTGCAGATAAAACGAAACAAGAAACTTTGGATTCGAACCCGGATCCCCGTGGGTGAAGTTGCCACCTCAACGTTGGGACGGTCTGTTGGACTAAGCATTTCTGAAATGGAACCAACGAATAGAGAACATTAACAGTTGTAAACAATAATTTTCAAGGAAAGTCGAATTTGTCTTAACAAGTAAGACACATTAACAAGCAAGGACTTGGAAGTAGTGATTGGAAAAGTAGTTACTAGTAAATAACAGTAACAAGGTACAGTATTGCTTTTTAAAATAACTAGAGAAAATAACAACTGTTACTAATGCTGTGCGATGACTTCAAAATCATTGATGGATTCATGCAATCATCGATGGTTGATCAATGGTTACGTCTGGCCATAGGGAAGCTTCCATAAATTACTTAACCCAAAGGAGAACGTCTATACCAACGGTACGGAGCATTACGCGGATGGTGTATTCTTTACACAGCGTTACGTAACACTATTCAATTTCTGAAGGTACAGAAATTTTTTTGTAGGAAAGTATTTTTCCATTTACAGGGCGATTACGAAAATCCAAGTAAATTATTTTGTCTTTTCATAAGACGTGGCGTCTAGATGATTGGTTTGAATTTTCTTCCTGAAAATTACTTAGCCAACTAAAATTGGTCACTGGTATGCAGCACGTCTTAAAGCTAGACGAAAATAGGACCAATCAAAATTTTTTTCTACAACAGGTAAATGCTACAATTCGACTCTGTGATCACACTCTAGTCTTTATATTGGAAATTCTAGCACTAGGCGGGAGTCCTTAAAATTACGTAATTCTGCTGGGGTCTCTCTCTCTCTCTCTCTTTAACTCTTTCCGTCCTGTGGGCACTAAGAGGGCCTTTTTTGCAAGCCCATTATGGGTTCGGCCAGGCCCACAATGGGGCTGCCGGGTGGTGAGGGACGGGGCTCGATATATCCGAACGGACCACCTCCCGAAAAATTTCTGGGGATTTTCCGACCCGTTCGGATTCGAATCCGGGTCCCCAGATCGGTAGGCTGCCACCTTGACCGTTCGGCCATCCGGCCGCTCTGCTGGGGTCTAGGGCATTACAAGGCATTACAGTGTATTATGAGGGGTAGGAGGGTTGTAAACATCGTAAACATTGTTACCTAATTTATGGATGCTCTCCTAGTCTGTTTTTTTAGTCTTTTCGCTATGTGTGCTCAGGGGTCTTTACATCTACTACTAGCAGTTTTCCCTTTCGAATGTGATTTAAAATCACATTCGAAATACAGTAGACTAAGTGTAAGTTTTAAAACAGCCGCGACATTTCCAACACTCTGCTAAATGGAACATTTCCAACACCCTGCTTTGTTGCTCGTGTTTAGTGTTATTGGGAACTTTGTAAAATCATAATGAAACTATACCATTCGTCAAATGAAAGGTAGATTAAAATACAGCACCAATAGACTAAATATACAGGAATAAATTATAATATATAATAATGGACAAGTGAATAAACGTAACCCACCATCCTTGCAAAAAAAAAACAATAAAAAAAAATAAATACAGTAAATAAATTTGAATCCAGGACAATGTAGCACACGTAACAATTATTCCAATAACTATTTTTACTTTACCATCTTTGTTATTTATAACAGAGAGAAAGTATGGCCACCGGCCATAAAAGATTTTTACATTTTTGGACTCGGGATCCTTGAAACGTCGACAAGTGCAAAAAAATTCGGGGGTTTTTCTGTATGTATGGATGTTAGTGTGTGGGACGCTGAAAATTTTAATTCAGTTGTCAACAATTCATTAATTACTATGATTATGACGTAAAAATAGACGCTAAGAAATTGCGTTTTATCCTAACTAAAAACTATTTAAAACTATCCACGAGTATTCTCTCTCTTCTTCGTGCCATATCAGATTTCTGACGTCGGCGACACCCGGCGCAAATTAGTAAGTAGTTAATAATACGCTAAGGTGTTACTAGGGAAGGTTAGTATCCAGAGTGGTTTCCCGTTGCCTTCTCTGGGGCGCGATGTTACGCGAGGGGAAAGAATGCCTTCCGGGAGGATTTTTATGGGAAACTGGCCTCCTATTTAGTCGTTATCCTTGCGGATAACGACTAAATAGCGGACGTGTATTCAATTTCCTATAAATATGGCGTCACTTCAGCCATTCTATGTAGTATATTCATCAAGCTTATTGCCCATATTGTACAGTATACAACTAACGCAATCTTTTTAATTTGCATATTGTCAACTACGCCAATCGTCCTTAGAAATGTAAACTGGTATTATATGTCTTTTTTTTTGCTCTTTCCGTCCTGTGGGCACTAAGAGGGCCTTTTTTAGCAAGCTCGGCCAGGCCCACAATAGGCAGCCGGGTGGGGAGGGGCGGGGTCCGACATATCCGGGCGGACCACTCCCGAAAAATTCCTGGGATCTTTTCGACCCGTCCGGATTCGAACCCGGTTCCCCCATAGCGGTGGGCTGGCACCTTGACCGTTCGGCCACCCGTTTCTAATTTAATTATGTTAAAGCGTTAGCCTGCCGCTCTGGGAGATCCGAGATCGAATTCGGACGAACATCCCAAGGAATTTTCAATAGGTGGTCTGTTCCGGATATGTCGGGCCCAGTCTCTCACTACGGTCGTATTTTTGGGGCCTAGCCAATCAAAAATGGATCCAGTAAAAAAGATCTTAGTGCCAACAGAGAGGAAATAGGACATAATCTAAACTCTGAAAGTGGAACTGAAAATTTGAGAAGCATTAAAAATGAATGTATTTCACTCAATCGCGATTGTAAATAAAATATTATAAATAGATAATATGTATAATTATAAATAAAGTATTTAATTATTTAATACAATATTTTAATACAATAATTATTTAATACAATAATAATTATTTAATACAATTTAATATTTAATTATTTAATACAATATTTTAATACAATAATTATTTAATACAATAATAATTATTTAATACAATTTAATATTTAATTATTTAATACAATTAGCGATTGAATAGAATATTTTACGAATAGTTTTTCCCCTATTTACGAGCTGGCAGCACTGTCGAGAATAATTTTCCCGCAAAATTAGAAGCGTGTAGTATACATTGTCGAAATGGACGAACATCAAACAACCAAATATCGTATTAATGGCACTCTCTTGTCTCAGTATCAAGGAAAAAATGTTTGTCTTCTTGGTTGCGTTATTCAGGTTTGTCATTCGTTTAAGTTGCTCGTGAAAATAGATTTTACGTTATAAATAATACGAGGGCTGTTTTTAAATAAAGTCCGTTTATGAAAATGAGAGTGAGAATGACGCGAGATCGTGGCAGTGCGTATGTGTGTTTGCTCCGAGCATGCTTTGCGCGCGTTTAGACACCATTTGCAGCCGTATCGTCCGTCTGTGTGCTGAGCTGTAAAAGTTTATGGTTAATGTCCAGATACGTGGACCGTCATGGCGGCACTTCCTGTTTCAGCCTCGAAACCAGACGATTTGCAGACGACGCGAGCGAACGGCGGCGGCTGTCATGGCGCCTCATCGCTGATTCCAGCAAAGAAAAGGAAACAGTGGGGACGCACATTCTAACCTAACCTAACCTAACCTAACCTATTCTAATAATATAATTGGTAATAATTATGTTAATTTATTAGAATAGGTTAGGTTAGGTTAGAACGTGCGTCGGTGCGTCACGTGACACGTCGTCTGCAAATCGTCTGGTTTCGAGGCTGAAACAGGAAGTGCCGCCATGACGGTCCACGTATCTGGACATTAACCAAGTTTATAATGTTTAAGAAAATTGAGTCATCAGCTGACTGTGAGTTACGAATCTGTTATTCGATTCTTGAGTGCAAGAAACTTGGCAGCAGCGGAAATTCACCGTCAGATTTGTGAAGTTTAGGGTGATAATGCTATGAGTGACAGTAAAGTTTGAAAGTGGGTGAGAATGTTCAAGGACAGGCAGGTTAATGTTCATGATGAGCCATGCCTTGGCCAGCCTTCTCTGATTTCTGAAGATTTGATTTGTGATGTTGATAACAAATCAGCACTTCAAACAACCTTTACAGCTCCAGTGGTATGTGTTTACACCTTAGCAAACGTTTTCAACCTCATCAAGGTCTTCATCAGGCTACTTTAATTAGGAATTCGAACGCGTTTGGAACGGAACGTATATGATTCAAAATACGTTTACTAAGGTGTAAACACATACCACTGGAGCTGTAAAGGTTGTTTGAAGTGCTGAATTGTAACTCCTCTAGTGTTGGAAGACGTTTATTTTGTTGATAACAAAGTTCGAGAGGACCAACGATTCATGATTTCAGTGTTACCAATTGAATTTCACAGATTTCAAGATCAGTTTTGTATACCATTGTTTCGGAGAAATTGAATTATCAAAAATTGTGTTCTTGGTGGGTTCCAAGACTGCTTTCTGACGATCACAAAACAAAAAGACAAAAAAAAAAAAAAACAGTACAATCAGGAAGGAGATGAATTGTTGGACTACATCGTTACAGGAGATGAGATTTGGGTGTTTCAGATGACTCATGAGTCCAAGCAACTGTCAATGGCCACACATCTTCACCAACCAAAGTGAAAGCCAAACAGTTCATTTCAGCATGGAAAATTATGGTAACTGTCTTTTAGGACAGGAAAGGGATTTTTTTAGTGGATTTTATGCCGAGAGGCACAACAATCAATTCTGTTGCATATTGTGTGATCTTGAGAAAATTCCAGTGTGCCATACAAAACAAGCAGTGTGGTCTACTGTCTTCCTGTGTGATGTTGCTCCATGACAATGCAAGGCCATATGTTTCTGCACAAACACAAGGTCTAATCCAGTGTTTCTCAACCTCTAACGAATTGTTGCCCCCTTCAACATAGTATCGCCCCCTTCATTTCAAAATTCTGATGCCGAGGGACAAGGCTAATGCCAAATTCGTGCTGCATTGTATAGTGACAATAGACTAGTAACTAGTATAATGTTATTTGTTTAATTATTGTACGATATAACGAATAAAATATCTAATTATTCTTAATATAATGTTTTACTATATCGCCCAGAAAATTGTTTTTTGCCTCCCAAAATATAAATTGTTACTAATCGCCCCCTCAACATGGAAAAATGCCCACATGGGGGCGATATTGCACCGTTGAGAAACACTGGTCTAATCAGTTCTTTTGAATGGGAACAACTGGATCATCCACCTTACATTCTAGACCTTGCACCCAGTGATTTTCACTTTTTTCGATACTTAAAGAAGTTTTTTGGTGGTCAACGGTTCAACAATGATGAAGAAGTGAAAACTGCAGTCATGGATTTGGCTTTTTCACAGTCGGCAGATATCTTTGAAGTTGGAATTCAAAAAATTATTGAGCGGTATGACAAATGTATGAACAAAAATGGAAATTACGTAGAAAAGTAGATAAAAGTATGTAGAATATGGGAAAAAGTATATTTTAATGATATTTACAGTATTTTTTTCCTTATTAAAAAATGGATCTTATTTAAAAAATAGCCGTCGTATATTCAATGTAGGATCAATGTGGGTAAATATGAGACACTTCAAAACTTTTGTAACAGCATTTGTTAGGATCAGTATTTTACAAAGAGAAATACATGACAAGGTCTACAGATGGTATTAAAATCTAATGGAGTATTCATTTTTTCTGTATATTTAAACAAAAAATTTTTTCTGTTTCTGGGAGGTGAAAAAGTAGACACCCATTATATCATCATAAGGACTTGCCTATGCCAACAGGGACATTAATAATGAGGTACTACAGGTCAAATGCAAGACATTTTTGTATAAAACATTGCTCCATGATATTTAGTTCCCAAGATATATAATTTTTAAAAGTGATTTTTTTCTATATTTTCTTTACATTTTCACATGAAATTTTTTAATTGAAGTAAGTAGATAACAATAAATATTCATCATTGAAAATTACTCTGTAGTTATGTACAATATAAAAGTGTAAAATAAAACAAAATTTTAAAGACATAGGTCTAGGTTTAAGTGATTTTATTAACCTTTGTGAACAAAGTATATTATGGTACCAACTGTTTTATATTACTAATAGTAAATACATATGGTATAGGCCTAAATTAAATGTTTAAAGGAATAAAAAGATAACTAAACTGGGTTAATAATTCAGTAGGCTATAGGAAAGGAGAAAAAGGAAAGGAAGGAAAAGGAAAAATACAGTATAATGCAAATTAGTAAATACACTTTTTTCACGTATTTCGGATGCACTGTGTTATTTTTTAACAGAAGACAAACTACTTCCCTTTCTCCTCTCCTATAATGAATTATTAATAGTAAACACATAAAGCTTTATTCAGTGGCCTGTTAAAAATAATGGCCTATTAAAAGAGATATTAACATAGAAAAAGTAATAAGCCTACCACTAATTAAAGAAAATATACATAACTAGGCTAGTCTAAATAAAATAGGTCTACACCAAAATAAAACGTTTTATGAACAATTGATTATTTATTTAATTAGCATGGAATAAAAGTAATGAAGAAAATAAAACTATAGTCCTGCTGTTTTCTGTGTATTAACATTAAGGTTAAATTAGGTGTAGACCTATTACATATCAAAAATGGGCTTTTTGTCTCAACCACGATGTTCTGGTATCCAATAAAGCAAAGAACACCAACTATACTAAGGAAGACACGTAAGATTATAGCACTCACAGGGGTAACAGCTTCTTTAACTGGTTCTTTTAATCCGCCAACGAACATTGCTTGCCCAAGATTATTCTTTGAAGTGAAAACACACAAGCCTGCTTGGCCTTTAAGACCGTTAATTAATAAACGCTCCCATCCTACATATTTCCTCGAAACAGCACTGGCAAAACATATCTCTGCTTTAGTACCTCCCTCCAACTTAGTAACCAATGCCGTTTTAAATGCTAAAGCTAACATTGTAGCTACACTAGGTAACCTTCCCACTAATTCGTACCGGTTGTACAAAATAGACGTTATTTCATTATATCCATCGGTACCACATTTTGAAGCTGTCATGCTTGCTAATGCACTTCTACTGAGTTCTGGACACCCCATATCACATGTATTACATTTGTGTGATGCTCTTTTATTTATCACGGAAAACAACTATTTTCAATTCAATGGCAAAATATACAAACAAACCCAGGGTGTACCAATGGGCTCCCCCTTATCACCTATTTTAGCAGAACTCATTATGAGGAATATAGAAAATTGTATTTTCCATGCACCTTTAACAATCCACTATCCTATCATGTATCTACGTTACGTTGATGATATTTTGATAGCATGGGATAGCTCTGCAGAGGATTTAGACAAATTTATTCAAATGCTAGCTTCAATATATCCTTCTATAAATTTCACTGTAGAAGAGGAGCAAGAAAACACAATTTCCTTTTTAGATTTAGAAGTGCATAGATATCCGGAGCTAACTTTTGCGGTGCACCACAAAAACAACAGAGGGCCAGATATTATCCCTGTAACTGCTTTCCAACCCCCGAGCTTTGTTAACTCTGCTATTACTTCACTTATTCGGATATGCACAGCTCCTCATTCCATCTTCCCAGACATTAATTGATGAAGAATTACAAATTATCAGAAGAGCAATGCACAATGCCGGATATTCTAACTCCAAATATCGATATCTCTACAACCGGGTCATAAACAAATTATTTCCAAAATCTTTCCTCTGCAACAAAGAAAGCCTAAAGATGATAAACCCTCTAATACCATACCTGGGCACCATCTCACTAAAAATGACACGCATATTCAGGAAACATGGTTTCATATTACCTATAACCCCTCATCCGTCACTACGAAGAACATTGTGCAACGATAGAGACATTCTCACGTTGAATGAAAAATCAGGGGTTTACAAAATTCTATTAAAACATACAGTATCAGGGGAGGAAATTATCTATATTGGAGCTACCACCAGAATGATATGGTCCCGCATCCTCGAACATCAAGAAGACATTAGAAATAATAGACCAGCTACAGAATTAGCAAAAAAGGTGCTAGAACAATATTATCTTCCACTTTGGAACCATGTTAAATTACTTAAGCATTGCAATGATCGTAGGCAAATATTCATATGGGAAAATCTTTATATATCCGCTGCTTTGCCGTGTAATGCGCCGACATTGGAAATACCACAGCTATGGATAACTTTATTTAAACAATCCAAGTTATAATTTTGTGT